ATGTCCTCTTGTATTTCTTTTTCATGGCTGAAAGCTTTCCTTTATGTTGTTGACTGACTGAATTTCCCTCTGTGGACCAATGACGTTTATCTTCCACCTCCTCCAATGGGCAGCTATAATTTTTATGACTGCGAGATGTAAGTGGGCAAAAATGATTGAATGAATAAGCAAATAAATAAATAATAATGCCTTTAAAGTCTGACTGCAGGATGGATAACTGTCCACTATAAAGAGTTGATATCTGCTACTCTCTCAGCCAGACAGAGAAACTTGTTTTTCCTGCAGTCAAACCTTCATGCAAGACGTGCTTGGACATGACTCTGCATCCATGAAGTCGGCAATTAGACAAGGTTAGCACGCTGCTTAGCTAATAAAATGTACTTCTCTTTTGTATTCTGCATTTTGATTTCACTCTGGTCTCCAGCAGGCTCCTTAAACCTGCACTTCCACTAGTGACACCAAAACAACATAACACGAATCAGTCACCATGGAGACATGTTGCCATCCCAGGAGCTGCTGTAGCGTTGCCCAGGACAGAACAACAGCATCTGCAGCTCCTGTCTCAGCCTGCCCGACAGTGTAAAATACAGGAATAGGAGGCCGCAGGCGAGACGCAACACGCAACCTTTCACCACTGCTGTGCTGAGCATACACAGCAGAAGACAAGTCATGGTGTCCTTGTATAAACCTCGACATAACCAGTACAAAGACATATGCTCACAGGATAGTCAGTAGGTAGCCCACTCCACCAGCCATGCAAGCGAGGAAGCAGATGAAGTCAGAATGCCTTTTTAAAAATTACAATCAACACTTGTATTGTAGAGTCTTGCTTTTTCAGTTAGTGTCCAGGAAATTCATTTGACATTTTTGCACTTGCAGGCCATGTTGCAAAATCAGTCCAGACTTTGAAATGACACACAACTAGATAAACTTAAACAAAAGAAGAAGAAGAAGAAAAGAAAAGAAAAGAAAGCAGCTCCAAAGACTGTGGATTTTTTTATTTGTATTTTTTTGTTTTCTGTATGCTTTTGATTACTTTTCATTTTAATTTCTTGTGCATGTCATTGTGCACTGCAGACTGGGACAACGGGGCCAATCAGAAAAACCTTTTTAAGTATTGTGAGCATATATAATGACAAGTATTCTCAAAGTGGTAAAAGATTTGGACTTATATACCACTTTTCTACATTAGCAGTGCTCAAATCATTTGCAGTGTTTCCCAATTCATTCTCACACACAGAGTAATGACTACTTAATGATTCCAGTCAACCCATAATCATTTCAGTATTGTTAATGATGAGCATTTATTAACAATTCTGTTACAGCTGTTTTACTATCCCACTGAAGTGATCCTGATAAATAAGTTTAACCAAGTGTGTCAGAGCAACCCACAGCTGTGATCTAGATTCAGGCTGAGAACTTGTGTTAGTTTGCAGAATGTGCAGCTGCCCTGTTGGGATTTTAGGCCATGTTTATTAGTTGAATTTTTAACTGTGAGTTACATACTTTGCTGCCAAAATGGAAAGCCAGTTTCACAGTGGTTACTATCCATCACTTCTCTTTATTTTCTCTTCACTTAATAAGTGTTTTGGAGTGCACGTGTCTCAGCTAAAGCGGTTCATATGGGTATTTTCTTCACATTATAGATGAGTTGGTTGCCTGCCTTGTCGCGATGTCCTCCGGGGCTGGAGCACATCTTTCTTTTTAAGCTTCATACTAACTTTAAATAGTCTGCTATAGTGTTGACAGCTGTTAACCAAAAAAAAAAAAAAAAAAAGGAAGAAAAGCCCTTACAGGGGTTAACAGAGCAGCTGGGTTTTTACAACTACCACAACTTCCAAACACAAAGAGGACAAACTCTGCAAACCAATGCTGGGAATCACCTTCTGCGTAAGGCCCTCTGGACTGAACTTGTGACTGAGTGGAAACTTGGCTCTGCTCTTCATCCACTTCTAAACAGACGGCTGCTTACACACAGTCTGCACATCATAATAAACACACGAGGTGAACACCATGTTTTCACCCAAACTGCTGCAACGGAGAGAGAGAGGGAGGCCAGTTGTAATCACAACACAACGCTGCAGGTGACGCAGATGCAATATAGCACTGATAACAAAAGGTGATGATTCTTTACATATGTGTGTCCTGTTCCATAACAGAAATGCTCTTTTAGTGTTTCTGGGATACGACGTCATCGTCAACCATTGTTGTTACAGGAACACAGAGTTTACTGCGCTTAATTGGTAGCTGCTGTCCAAATGTTACCCAGACCGTTAAGGCATCCAGAACATGCATTGTTTTTGCTCCTCTGTTACAAAAAGTCCTGCTCAGTTATACATATCATAACATTGTCTCCTTTTTTAAAAAGAAGAAAGGATAATCAAGATTACTTCATTTTTTGTGAGTAGTTTTCCATTCAAAAGTCACACAGACAAACTGTACCTTTACTGGAATGAAGAACATTTTCATAACCACAGATTTGAATGGAAATAAGTGGATGGAAACAAGGCAGGGTAGGTGCCAAGTGAAAGTAGTGTGGGTTACTCATCAACTGTGCATAAAAAAACTGGACCTGCAGGTTTGACCAAACACTGTTCACGTATTTGATTCATCTGACACCCTGCTGCTATACCTTGTGAAAAAAGCAAAAACGGAAATTTGTGCTTGTGTACATGCAGAAATACGAAGGTCTGTACGTGACATCTGGCATGTTAAGCTGACTACCTGAGCTTTAGTCAGTGTGAACAGCTAAGTGTTGTGGCCATGAATACATTACTGACTGTTTATTTAATGAGCTCCTGCAAAGCTGGGATAGAATTAGCTGGCAATGCTTGGATTTACTTATGTAATATTAGTTTCCTATGAACACACTATTCTTTATTTGTAGGTGTATCTAATCTAGATGCCTATGTCATTACACGTCAAGTCGGAGCGGTTGCATTTACTAATGATTCCACAGAGAATCCTGCAGTTCTGCAGCTCTGTGGCGCTTGTTAGCATCTTCTGACTCATAGTTGGTTTTCTGAGCTCAAATCCATTTATATTTCCAGGGCACACAGCTGTCTGTCTAAAGAAAAGCCAGAAAGATCAGTCAAGAAAAGAAAAGCTTAAAGAATAAGCTAAGTCTACGTTAGTTCCATAGCGACGACTAGCTAGCGACCAAAGAGCTAGCAGCTAAAAAGCTACATGTCGTTCAAGCTGGTAGCCGATCCAAACAGCTAAAAGGTTGACGTACATTCATCACCGAAGACTATATAAGATGTGCCTCCTCTGGTTGTAAAAAGAAGTCATACTATACAAAACTTAATGAGAAACTGTTTTCTATGAGTTCTGAGTTATATCGCTTGCTTGTTACATCCAATTTAAAAACAAACAAACAAACAAAAAAAACATGACAGTAAATTCAAGATTTCAAACTCGAGGCTCCAAATCAGCAGGCCATAAACCATTAGGTGATTCTGCTTTTATTTATTGTCTATGTGGACAAAATGTAAACTCAAATGCTAAAAATGTTAACATTGCTCCAAGTCTTAGCCACAAGAATTTTAGTAATAAAATGTCCAAAGTATGTATTTTCAGCTTAGAATGAACTTAAACTGAGTTAGGCATAGCTTAAGACGTCATGAAGGGTTAGCACGATGGATCATGACTGCTGGATTTCATAATGTGTGTGCAGTGGAAAATGGTGTTTAGTTACATAAGTTTTATGAGGATCGGGAGATACAAGAAACTGAAAGTGTGCTAGCGTCAGTTGATCAGTATCAGCCGGTTCATCCATGCTTTCCATTCAGCTGACTAGTGACCGTCACATTCATACAGGCGCCTTGATAACCCAGCACTTTGCACTGAAGACTGCTGCTGCTGTAGCTCCCCTCCAACCTCCTCCTATGGTGTTGAAGTTGTTGGCAGTGCTCCCTTTAATAAGATCTAATGTTTGCGCGTGTGTTTGTTGAAGGAGGATCAGTTCCCCTAGCAGCACCTCACTGCTGCTCAGAGATCCCTCAGAAAGGCAGAGTCTTATCCATTAAATCTAACTGTAAAACACTTTGCTATAAATGGTCAACTCCTTAACTGGAGGGTCTCTGACTGACTGAACCATGTTTCCGAGTAAGCGAGCTCTAGGTACTCTCTGATATTTATCACTTTTAAACCAACTCATCTGTAACTTTTCTTTTTTTTTTTTTTTACCCATAAAACCACACTGGAAGTAACCACCAAAGGCAAACAGGTTTGGTTCGATTGAAGCTTTAAATAAACCAAAGTAAATATGAGAGGTATGTACAGTATGTGTTTTTTTTTAAACACCCTACCTACAGAGGTGAGCGGATATTACATCATCACTTCTGTACCAACCTGTCACATCCCAACATGCCATCATAGCAGAAGTCATGATGCTTCACGGCTCCACACCTTGTGTGAGTCATTCACTGAGCATGAACACAGCATGTAGTGTTTCAAGTACAATGAATCAGTTGTTCATGACGATGTTCATGTCGTGGGTCACTCCTAGCAACATGGAAAAGCACTTTCATGGTTAAGCGCACCGGGTCTGCGTCGTGCTTTTGCATCTCATTCATTAAAGTTTGTTTTTTGTGAAATGAATGCATCTGGATGCACAGAGCAGCTGCAGTTTGACAAAATGTTGTAAGAAAGAAAACCCCACACACACACACACACACAAAAAAAAAGGGGAAAGTAAAGTTCCATTACTCCTCAACGCAACATTACTTGAAGGATGAGGGATCTTAGTGTGCCATGTACGTCACATCTTGACCTTACCCTTAAAAATGGAAGCCCACAGGATACTGGGCATAGGGAGGGAATGTTTATGCAGTGACAGCCTATCATTGCCTCAGGCCCTGAGAGTCATACCAGGGCAGATTGCTGTTTACACAGCAAGAGCCAATGGTGTTAAAGACCTGTCATTCCAGGCACCGCCTCCCGCCTGCCGCGCTCTGGAGAGAAGCTATAAAGTCGTCCGACAAGCCAAAAGGGAGAAGCAGAGGAAAGTGAACCATGAGAGGAAACCTTACCGGTGTGTCATCCCAAAACATGGCGTTTACTGACTGCGTGAAACCCACTGAGCTGCTCGCAGACAAGAAGGGGATCAAGTATGTTCACGTGGTGTTTAATGGCAACGCTCCTGCTAATAATGATGAGTTTGTGAAGTAACTGCACTTCCATAAAGCACTGATGAGTGAACTCTCTTTTTTTTTTTCCAACAGGAGGAAAAACTGGAGAAACAGAATAAGATTTCTCCTGAAGTCAAACTCTTCTCATTCGATCCTGCACCAGAAGAGAAACAGATCGTACAGGTGAGATCTATTTATTCTGTTTTCTGTGCAGCATCACATTTTTATGCACATAAATTGTGTTTGTGGCAGCTTTGGTTGATATTATTTAAGTTAATAAATATTTCAATGAAGTTTGAAACATATTTTGCATGTGTTGTTGCATGACTACACTATTATGTTAGGCCTTAAATAATTAGTTAAATTCTAAATAAAATGGCAATTAATGAGTGTAAAGGGGGAAAAAAGAGAATTTTTTTTTTTTTTTTTAATTAAGTAAATGTAATAATTAGCAACATGTTTCTGTAGTATAATACATTTTTAAATGATGATGACACTGTACAAAAGTAGCACCTGCCTCTCCTCTAACTGTCTCTCACATGTTCTCCACCCTCAGGCCAAGCGCTGATGACGTGAACCAATGGGCGCAGTCGCTTGACAAGCTACTCAGTCATACATGTAAGTATCATTCACCCGTCTATTGGCGCAATGTTGCATAAAAGAGTCTCAAAGGTCAAACGGTAACTGTGAGTTGAATGAGAGCGTTTTATTGGCCTCAATAAAACAAAGCCTGTAATGGCTTTGCACTCATTTTACATTAACGGGCAAACAGCCAGTGGATGTCGCCAGCCTCGTCTTTAACACTTCTCCGTCCCTCTTTCCTTCCAACAGACGGAAAAGCCGCCTTTTGTATCTTCCTAAAATCTGAGTTCTGCGAAGAGAACATCGAGTTTTGGACAGCCTGTGAAGACTTCAAGACGCTCACGTCACACAAAGAGCTGGTGTCCAAGGCCAACAACATGTACGAGGAGTTTATTAAAAGTGAAGCTCCCAAAGAGGTAACAGCTAGCCTTCATAGAATTGGATGTAAATCGAAATATATTGTTTGATTAGTTCCCCAAGCTGATTTATATACCTTTGAGTTTTAAATATACACAGTATTCATTGTGGATGTTTTTCTTTGGTGACAGATAAACTTGGACTACCACACCAAAAACGCCATCGTCCAGAGCCTCCATGAGCCCACCGAAACTAGCTTCCTGGCAGCTCAAAGGAAAGTTTACAGCCTGATGGAGAATAACTCGTACCCCAGATTTATCCACTCCGACCTCTACAAAGAACTGTGTGCAGCTGCCAGGGGAGAGGGCAAGCACATTAAGTCCTAGTCAAACCAGACAGCCGCTCCTGAAGTCATTTGTTTACCGCTGTGACTGTGAATAGACTGCAGATAATGTTCATTCCAGACACTGCCTTGGAATAATAGACCCGAATGCAAATTCCAAGCATAAACATTAACAGAGAGTGTGGAAAATGCAAAAGCCGAAAGCATTTCTAGTCAGTCCTGCTGAGAGCTTTTCAACAAGGAAGCTGGGATGATTAGGATGGATTGGATGCCGTATGGTGCTGCAGGCGGTGCAGACACCATTGCTACCAGATGGGATTAAGGTTAGATTTTCATCACTGGAGCTTCACCTGCACTTTCTTTATTACACTATCTGTTTGGTATTTTAAGCAATGATGCTATTTGAGAAACTGCTGTTGTAGAGCCACTGCATTCAAAGCTTAAAGTCTGTAAAACTCTGCACGACTTGCCTCACGTTAAACCGACAGTGCTGTCAGAATGTATTTTCTGTAATGACGTCCACTTGAAGACTCTGGACAGGAGTCATTCACACTTCCTATGTAGCCTTGCTGTTTATTTTCCTGCTGTATGTGCAGCAGTTTACACAGAAAATATATATTTATTATTAACATCCACGGTTTCCACTGATGGCTGCGTTTGGCCTGAAACTACTGTGACAATGTTATACACTGTAAAGATTTTGATATTGCTTCAAGTGTTTAATGTCAATGTAAGCTTGGTGCAGCTGGACTGCTTGTGAAATAAAAATGTATTCTTCAATGCCGAAATGTCTCTCATGTTTGTTTGCAAGCTCAGTGCAAACATTTAAGACTTGTGTGGGAACATTGTACGTCACCACTCTAGAGAATTCAGAGGTTCCATCCACATCCGACTCACTCTCTGTTCACTGTTCAAACATCTATATTGCTGCTAAAGTGAATAATGAGAGATTTATTTACTCAAACTCACTTTTTGTCCACGGAGGGGCGGAAGAAAAATAAGATGCAAACACAAAATCAACATAATATCACAATACGATTATATACAGTTATTATACAGCTATTATAACATAAATGTAATAAAATCCAAACTCAGAAAAGCCTCAAAACTGCACTCTTTCTAACAGCCAGCAGGGGGAAACTCCTCTTGTTGCAAACAGAAATCAGATTTAATACAAGTCTACAAGGAAATGTTCCTACTTCTCCCTTGATTTATTACCTTAAACGTATTTCCTCATGAATTAATGGTCTTAATACCTAGTTGCAAGACTTTTTAAAAAAATTTAATGATAGTGTGATGTACTTATAAACTATAGTCCCACTGTCCAAGTGTCCTCAAGTTATCCGTCATATTTATCTTTCATTCTTCACGTCTGGTTTCAAAATAGCAAGATGACGACAGCCAAATTCTAAACTAGGCACTTAAACAAAAAAACTAGCAACGTCACAGCAGCTACACCCATCTTTTACATACTGTCTACAATGATCGCCTTTATCTCTGATATGCATTAAATGTTTGCAAATAGTTGTTTATTCCAACAGAGGCAACATTAGCATTCATTTCGAGCTTTGTTTCAAGATGTCTGACAACAGGAAGTGCAACATTCATTCTTGTTTAAACTCCAGTTTGGGTCTCCACCAATTACTGAGGGGAAATATCGCTTCAGCCACTAAATGTTCCACAATATTTACCACCTCTGTCTGTGGTTCAGCTGGAGCTGGAGAGGTTGGGTACAATGGGTTTATAGGAAAGCTAAATGAAATGTCAAAAAAAATTGGAAATAAATAGATTTTATAGTAGCTTTGAAAAGCAATGTAGCACCTAATTCCCTGTTAAACACTGTGCTAACAAATAAATCGCTCTAAATGATCACTTTGCTGTTTTAAATGTATTTTTTGTGTGGCTGCCAGTTGGCTCTTATTTATCTACAAGACCAAAACGTGAAATAGCTAAACAGTGAGATAAATGTCATGCACTTTAGGTGTTTGGGTTAACAAACCGATCTAAACATTCTACGCGGATGCATTTTTAGAAACCACGTGCTGCATGTTTAATTTGCAAAACAACATTCCTCATCTTTTTGGAACATTACATTCCTCTTTCATTTCCCGTACTGTAACAATGGCCCCTGTGTTTAGAGTTTGAAGTGCAGAAGCAGCAAGGAGAACACCCTGAGTGACAGCAGGGTGAGCGCTCCCCTGTCCGCCGTGCCTGCTCTCCGGTGCCGAGGCTGTGAACCCTCGGTGGAGGCTGACAGTGGCCAGACAGCCGGACGTTGCCGCTGACAGGCCCTGCGCTCTCCTCAGACCTGTGGCCTGCTGTCCCTGTGCGAGGAGATCATCTTTTTACAGCAGCAGTTCTTCAAAACCATATACGCCGCTTACCCTACGGGTTAGAAAAATAGACTTGTGGTCTGGAAATTACTGGTTTAAAAACCCCTCAGTGGCTTTAAAGCATGTGTTTTTAACTGTATTCATTAACCCTGTGAGCCCTTGACTATTTTAAGGGTAATTTCACTGTCTTTGCCCTTCAGCTCTCGGCCATTAAAGGAATAGCAACTACTTGATGTACCTTGTTTTTACAGAACAATCTAGGCTATACAGATCTTCCACCATTTGATACGTATGCATATAATACTTACAGATCTTTTGGAATGAGCCTTTAGATCAAGGAAAATAAATATTTGTGTAGAGTCTCTGCTCTGACAATATCAGAACCATGATGGTGCAACTGAAAGACTTAGAAACTGAAAAAACGATGTGTCTTACAGAAATAAATATCGTTTTGTCACATACAGTAGTTTCCTTGGTAACCAGGCAAACGTTTGCCACCAACAACTATTATCTGTTTAGTCTGAACGTGGAAGGCCTATGCTGTGAAGCGCGAGTGACTTAACCTGAGTGCAGAAATGAGTAAAGATGTCACTTAGCAGAAGTTTGAGGTCTCCAAAAAGTTATTTCTTCAGCATATATGTAAAAAGCAAATTACAAAAGCTCTACTTTTTCTTGTCATACATTAACCTTATCTAGATAATAACATATATTTGCAATAAGAACTTCATGAGTAATTCAAACAAGAGTAATGGATGTGCAGGTGGATACATAGCTATATGCAAGTTATAACAGTGATTAAATTCGATGCAAATTCAAAATGAGTTCCTCTTGCTGGCACTTCATCGCACAAATGGCTTGTTAGAAAGGTCAAGCTGCCTGGTTTCATTCATATGTGCTACACTGCAGTAAGCACTTCAAGAGCAATTCAGCCGAGATGAAGGGATGAGGAGTTGGACACAAAGTGCATCTGTCAAGCTTTAAGGGGTTAAGGCTGGAATCCTGGGTTGGATTATTATTTTTTTCTTTAGCTACAGGGGTGTCAGTGTCAGCCGACCACTTTGATCCTGACTATTGGATGATTCGACATTAAATCTGACATTCTTGATTCCCTCAGGATAAACTGTGATAACTTTGGCGAACTTTTCATCTGGACCCAGCATCGTGTCAAAACACCCCTTTGTCCAGTTCTTTGGTTGATGCCAAAATACCTGCAGACCTTATTTTTCTTTCAATTACTACTACCAATGTTTCTTCTGCTTTTTAAAAATTTTTAACTTCAAGAAATCATTAATTATCTTTATCAACTACAAATGCTAAACATTTGCTTGCTTCAACTTCTCAACTTTTCTGTTTTATATCATTGGAAAATTAAATACGTTTGGGTCTTGGACTGCTCTTCAGTGATAGAACAAGCAATTTGAGGCAATCTTGGGTTCGTTTCCGAACAGTTTAATAAGGACTCATCTGAAAAAAAATATAAACAATTCTGATTCACTGTCCTAATACTCGTGTTATTTTTCAATCTTCCATGTCTGGGTATTGCTCCGGGCCTCCAAAGCCTTCGGAGGCACTGCACGTGATAATGAGCTGTACAAATAAACTTTCCTTGACCTTTAAAGTAGGCCTACCCGGCACACATTCCGTTACGCAGCAGTCTGGCTATTTTTAAGCCCCCTTTTTTTTTTGTAGCATCTGCATCTGTCTACCGTAAACATGCTCTGCTTTTCGACCTCAGTCAAAGATGAAGGAGCAGTGACGACTAGCACGTGCGATAACAAAGCGAGCACTGTGTCGTAGTAGAGGTATGTCATGGACGCCCTGCAGAACTGGAACACTGTCACAGCGAATACTTTTTGTTTGCTCATCTGTGTGGCCCGACAGGTTAATAAAACACACTGTTCTTTCTCTCTGAGCTGGTAGTAAAACCTGTGGGTTTTCATTTGTTGCCATGCACGATCTTGGCAACAGACGACTGGGATCAGATCCAAGGAGTACTCGAGGTGTGTATGTAAACACTGGGTCCAAATTTAGAAACGCGCCACGTCCTACTTTGGTCAGCAGACTGCAGATACGTCAGACTGCACAAGCCTTTAGACGTAGACTCTGTTCCAGCGCAAATTGGCCAAATGCAGCTTCTCAGCACAATACAGTCCAGAAGTTGATTTACAGGACAATTCAGAGGTCAATACAGAATCCCATGTGCAGAGCGTCAAGACAGCGCTGCGGGAATCTACCCAAAAAAAACATGCGTCATTAAAACTGATCCAGTCTTTTCCTCGTGATGCACTTTTTAAGGACGTGGCAGCTTGATTGTGTACTCGCATCAGGTCTTATGCTAAAACACAGACCTTTAATGTCTGAACGTTGAATAAAAGATTTGTTATTGATCTGCTGAAAACATTCTGTAGCTGATTAATTTAGGACAGTTTGGTACATGGCTTTTTAAGATGTACAATACAGTGGCTGTCATTTCACTGCTACACCACTAGGTGGCGGCAAAGACCTACCACCACATATATATACCTTTGATGGAAAAATACATGTAGAAAAGTTTAATAAAAAAAGACTGCTACGTTGGAGGAAGAAGCCTTATTTGCTTTAGAAATCCGTCCATGAAAACAAACAGTTCACAAACAACTAGACATTTTATTATGAAAATAAGACAGAACATAATTTGAGCACATAATCCTTCTATCATGCATTAGAGCTGATGGACACACATGGAGAGTGTTTTTTTTTTTCTTCTTCTTTTTTTCCCCCAGGCAGTCTCTCTGCTACACCTGCAGTGCAAGTTCTTAATGTCTGGATGGTTCAGAGGATGCCACAGTGACAGAGTGCTGCAGACCATCCACGATCATGAATGTGAATATGATAGGTCATGTACAGTATCTCTGTGTGGCTCACTGATGAAAAGAGTGACGGTAGCTTTGTGGATGGAAGTGTGTTTGTTTTTTGTGTAATCAGAGGCTCGTCTGGTGATGTGTTTGTTGTTCACTTGGCCTCCTGGGCTTTTTTGGCGCTTTGTTTCTCCTTCGCCTGTCGAGACAAACCCAGAGATGACTGCATTAGTATCTGTGGAAGACTGCAGTATTTCAGTTGTACACTCCTTTCATCATTCTTCTTGTTATTGCCCATTACAATGCCAAACAACAAAAACTGATTTAGAAAATGTATTGCACAGTATCGATTTATGAGAGGTGCCATTTCCTATAAAATGTTCCATATTTACACAGAAATCAGGACAGGATTCTAAATCTAATCACTAAATGTGTAATAATAGACAGTAAACTGTAATGCTTGTGCACACAAAAAGCCCAGAGAAACCTAAATATATTAATAATTATATTAATAAGGAACTGCATGCTTGTTAAAAAAAACAATAAAGACTGCCCTCTAGTGGACTGACTAACTACTGCAGCTCTGGCTGTTGAACAAAGTCAGTGATTAGCATTTCT